AGGGGGTTGGGTTGGTTTGGGGAGGACTGGAATTGGGAACCGCTAGGGCTACATCATGTGTCATTCACCGGTGAGAAAAACTTTAAAAGTGCTACAATACCAGGAAGGAAGATCGGGTTGTTGATGTTTGTCTGCCATCCTCGCTCTGTCTGCACAGCGTGCGTGAACGCGCTGATGAGTATCCGGTCTGCGTGAACCGGGTGCGCAGAGGTATGCTCACACATACGTTGACAGGCAGGTAGGAAAGCTAATTAAAACGCTCGGACCGAGCGTTTTGATTGGACGAACATTTCTTAGTCCTAAACCTTCCACAGAATATATAAACACAGATAAATACATTTAGATCACTTAACCTAATGCTTGCTATCGGGATGCGAAGAGACTTTCAACCAGCTTAACGAAAAAATGTTTCTGAAGACAATCACCTATTGCACCTTTAACTTTTGATATTGTGTGTGACAGCAGTGATAGTAATCACATTTTAGAGAAAACAAGTATAAGCCTTGGACCTCCAAATACAATAATACAAATTAATTACCTTCAGTAGGACTTAATAAACCCCGAATCCTCATAAAAATACAGATAAACTTTGTTTTTACTGAAATATAATTCTCAAACGCCGACCTTCTATGACACCTAACACACAACAGATCATAATGAGCAGTTTAATTGAAAATTAACATAGAAATTCCCTTACTTAAAGATATACACTGCTCAGAATGAAGCTAAATGTATAAGGCACGTTGTGGTTGTTAGACTTGAGTGGGAATGAATTAAGTTCATAGTTATTGTGATGAACTACACATGTGGTTACTCTGATAGGACACCTAGTGAAACGAAGGTGAACTGACTTCATTCATCCACTAAAACCCAGTTGATTAAATGTGAAAAGTGAAATTAGTTCTTAATGCTGTAGTAGCATTTTTTTGCACATGGCACTTGCTTTTATATTCCATTATCTAATATGAATGACATTCAGCATTGATCGTAGCATCCAAACACGTTTTGGGGCCACTGCAGGTTGCATGGAAACACATACTGTAAACGACTGTAAACCACTGACAGCTCACTGAAGGGGGCGTGGCGCGGGGGCCGCTCAATGGTCTCGTGCGGGATAGCGTGGCGCGCGGCGCTTGCGCTCAGCGAAGCAGCGTGTCCTGCGCGAGATTGCAGCTCTGCCAGTGCCAGCCGCTGGACGAGAGGAAAGACATGCCCCAGCATCCCGCAGACCTGCCTCTCTGGACCTAAATGCCACAAGGCAATCGGGTGCCCGAGTCATCGCGGACTAATAGATGGAGAGGGAACGGCCACGCTGTCAGGTAAACGTCTTTTCTGACATCGCTTTCACTGAGCTTCATTGTGTACACAGAGCTGTCCTGCAGGGTACAGTAACAGAGCGTTACATCTGAAGAAACCAAGTCTGCCCCATGCGGTGTGCAAATATCCTTTAAAGACTTATATACGCGCCTGATCTTTACAGTGACGCCAAATGCAACGTTTAGTGCGTCAGTGATTTACAACCCAGTGTTTTTACAGAGAAGCCACATGCGCCGTGCTGGGCTCGTTGGGAACATCACTTTAGGTGCCAATAGGCACAGGGTGGGCATATGTTGCATTGTCAGTGGTGTAAAGGGGGTCACTAAACATGTTCAGTGGCTTCAGTAAGAATACAGTCAAGTGTTTCCCAGCTGCTCTTTTATTGATAGCCATTATTGCATGAACGAATGAACATTTAATATATGAATACCAGAATTAATATAGTGCCTAGTCAGCGGCGATCTGGATAACGTGCCGTTTTGTCGCTGGAGTGAAGTAGTGGAGTATTGCAGGCGCACAGGATTCCCGGCATTGTCCAGAGCGCGATGGAATAATCAATTATGTTGCATAATCGCAGAATGCGGGATCGGGTTAAACGGGGGTCACTGCGATCCTAGAAAGATGCGAAATGCCACTTCATAACGACGATCAGCCAATCAACCAAGCGGTCCATCGCGTCGTTCGTTGATCGCCTTTGTTACGTCGACATCCGCGCAGTAGTGCGCTACGCGCGAGCGCATCGCATTATAGAAAACAGCAATTCTGTTTATCTTTACTGCACGAGAATTCGAGCACAGTACAATCGCTACGAGAATAAGCGTCGATGCTAAAGGAGCGTTCACGCGGCGCTATAGTTTCATTCTCTCTAGGCTACACATGCGCCGTTGCGTCGCGTTTTGCGCGTTTCAGACCAGGTGCAATGTGAACAATTCAGCTTTGAAAACGTCTCGAGAACCATGCGCTCTGTCTCGTTGTTTCCGAGCGCAGCGTTCTGTGTGAACGCCCCCTAAATAGTGTACGCTTCTCTGATTACAAGGGCGTTTTTGTCGCGTCGCTCGCGCTGTGGATGGGGCTTGAAGATGACGCTAGCGTAGGGCTACAGCACATATGTGATTTATGCTAATGTGGCCTAATTATAGCCCAGCTTTTTGTCATTTCCAGTAACATTCTGCCTGAATAAGCCAAAGGCACATTATTAAAAACGATAACAATATGAGCAAATAAGAGATTGTTGAAAAATGAAACCATTCGTTTAGATTTTATACCCACTGTAAAACTAGTATGACCCATCATCCAGAAACCTAGATGTCTGGGCTGTCAGGCAGAGAGCGTTTCAGGAAAACTACACCAGTGTTTCTGATATTATACTGCTTTTGACCCAGTTGTTAGCTGACATTTCCATGCTGTACAGTGTGCAAGAGTATCATAACACTGAGCTTTTGGAAATGCGATCTGGTACTACGGTTGGAATTGTTCAGTTTTTTTGTGTTTGAGAGATGTTTACATTTTCAGAGATATGCTTGTGATGTAAATCAGATGCATGTTGTGTTTTAATAAAATGTCATGTGAGTAATAACTCTGGAGCCGCAGAAAAATGATGTCATAACAGCACTGATTGGCTGATAGCACAAAAGCACAAACCCTTCACTGATCTGTGTTGTCAAAGCTCATCTGACAGGGAAATGAATGAATTTGACACTTTAAGGAGCCTTGAAAAAAGTACCACTGTACCACAGGTAAATCACCAGCACATTATACGATATTTAATTATGTTACACAGACAAATGTCTATGTAAACAATGCGATTTAAAAGTGACCAAGGCATGTAACAGGTGAAGTGTCTTAGTAATACTGTACCATGTCACAGTATCATGAATTGTTCATTTATTTTTATTGATAATCATTTATGGATCATCCAATAAATTCCAGTTATTAATCAAACGCAGTACACCAGACGGAGCCACCAGCACTGCTCTGATGGAATCAGTTCTTCTCTGCAGGGACCCCCAGAGGCACCTTTCCTCGTGTTTCTGATGGCATGCCGTCTGATTTTTCAGGTTGCTCTGCGTTGGACAGGCCATAACTTCTCAAGGAATCTCCCCAGTAGCTCTCAGGAAAGCCTGTGCCCATATGTATCTCTCACTTCTTTTTCTAAGAGCCATCCCAAGAGCGCATAAGCGCAATGTTGCTCAAGAACAACCGGGATCTTACCTCACACAGCCTACTTTCTGTCTACACCACTGGGCTGCTTCCTTTTGTGCAGTTCAAATAGACATGCAAAATGCCAGTCGAGTCATGCCAGACGTGTATAAATGACTGGTAAACTTTAAACTGCAACATTAAAGGGGTCATATGATGCTGCTAAAAAGAACATTATTTTGTGTATTTGGTGTAATGAAATGTATTTATGCGGTTTAAGGTTCAAAAAACATTATTTTCCACATACTGTACATTATTGTTTCTCCGCCTCTTTTGGAAGACCAAACAAAGTAGTTTCGCTTTCACAACGAAAAAGCGTCACACACCAGTGTGGATGGGGCTTGAGTGAGCAGAGGGGGGCGGGCTTGAGTAAGGAGCGGCCGGCGGATAAAGGAAAAATTGAAATCGCATCATATGACCCCTTTAACTTAATAGAGGACGATGTGGAAACGAAACTGGTTTCTTAATGACAGCCGTAAATTGCGTGTAGAGCGAATGGTATCTGCTTATGTAACCAAATATAAAGATACTTCTTACATCGCTCAATGGCTACCTCAAATAATCCCAAGCATTCCCATAAACTCAAACCTGATGCTTAACTGTCCTTCCCGTAACTCTCGTAACTCGGCTCTCCTCTTTGCTAAATGTGTTCTGCCAGCATAAGATTTAGCTCACAGTGCCTTTTCTCTCGGAGGTTATTTAAGACAATCCCTCTGTAATCATGCTTAAAGTCTCAGCCGTTATAGTCCAGAGGAATAAAGCCTCGATTGTGAAACTGATAGGCCCGGAGCCCAAATGGCACTCTGAAGGCGTGTCATCAGAGCCAATACGGAGTTTGATTTCTTGATACCTGATACAGGCACAGTTCAGAAGGAATTAAACCCATTCTATCCAGACAAGAGCCAAGCGAGGGCCAAATCTGCTTTAGTGCTTGAGCTGTTTGATACGTGTATGAGAGTGATGACAACATGACTCATATTTGGTGATGTGCACCATGATGAAGCGCTAGCTTTGTTATGGAATCCTGCAAAATTTTGAACTTGAGGAGATTACAGTAAATCCCAGCTGGCCAAATGTGTTGAATTTGGGGTTACCACGATACCAAAATGTCAGCAGTTAACACTGATACCAGTGAAATTTCACTATTCTCGGTACCAATTTTAATCCCAAAGGAAAACAAATACACTATTGAACACACTCCATTTTTAAAGTAAAGATGTAGTGTAAATAAATAAACAATTTAATTTTAGCCTTCAAATATTTATTGAACTATTCGGTAACACTTTACAATAAGGTTCATTAGTTAACATACTTAGTTAACATGAATTAAGCATGAACAATACTTCTACAGCATGTATTAATCTTAGCTAATGTTAATTTCAACATTTACTAATGCATTATTAAAATCAAAAGCTGTGCTTGGTAACATTAGTTAATGCACTTTTATCTCGGCAAAGGAGAAGTGCTCACTAACACAGATTTAGACAGATTTGTGAACAATATTTGAGAGAAATAGGCCTTTTGTGTACATAGAAAAAGTCTTAGATCTTTGAGTTCAGCTCATGAAAAATGGGGGCAAAAACAAAAGTGTTGCATTTATAATTTTGTTCAGTGTAATTAGGATAATCTTGTACCATACTGATATAAAAAAAACTAAGAGAAAGTAAATATATTCAATTTGTTGTAATTAACAACATGAAGTGCATTAAAATTACATTACATCAAGGTCTCCCAAATTGGGGATTGTGAAGGAACTGCAGGCAGTTCATGAATTTAATGAAAAGCTAATAATGAATTAAATCATAAAACATGTATAATGAATATTTTTAAAATAAAATGTCTTTTTTTTTTATTTGCGTGTCGGTTCAACCAATGCAACCAGTGATTTTAGCCTCAGCTTGGTACTCAAGTTCTGGCACTTTCATCCTTAGTTGCGTTGATTGCTCTGTACTGTAAAGTTCCCTTCAATTACACCTCAAATCATAGCAGTGCACATGTGTTATTTCAAGCCACTGAATTATAGAAACACTACACACTATTTTTTCAAAGGGTTTAGTGTACCCAAATTGGGGATTGTGAAGGAACTGCAGGCAGTTCATGAATTTAATGAAAAGCTAATAATGAATTAAATCATAAAACATGTATAATGAATATTTTTAAAATAAAATGTCTTTTTTTTTTATTTGCGTGTCGGTTCAACCAATGCAACCAGTGATTTTAGCCTCAGCTTGGTACTCAAGTTCTGGCACTTTCATCCTTAGTTGCGTTGATTGCTCTGTACTGTAAAGTTCCCTTCAATTACACCTCAAATCATAGCAGTGCACATGTGTTATTTCAAGCCACTGAATTATAGAAACACTACAGGATGTCTATTTTTTCAAAGGGTTTAGTGTACAGCCAACAGCAAATCCCAGTGAAGTCTATATTGATATTCATGTCTCATTCACATGTAGGCACTTTCAGTAGCTGTCAGTCAGGTGACTCCTCTGGAGAACTGGGACTTGGACTGGAGTCCAACCCCTTATCAATGCACCACACAAGAAAAAATAGCCAACTGCCCTGTCAAGCTTTAACTCCTCAAATGGAATCAAAGATTTGAGAGTTTGGTCACCAGTAGTCCTGTATGGTCAGCTGTCAAGAAACCGAAACAAAGGAAACTGTAGTTCTGATAGGTAACTGAAAGAGTAATCAAGGTCATCATTCTTAAAACATTGTACCCTGCAATTAAAGCCCTTACATTTGACAGACATGTTTAAAAAACTAAAAAAATGTAAATTTTTAATAATTTGAAAGCTGTTTTATT